TAGTGGCTGTCCAAGTTTGCACTCCCACTAGCAGTGGAGGAGCGTTACTCTTGCTCCACATCCTTGCCAGCACGAGCCATCACTTGGGTGATTGATCTTAGCTATTCTGACAAGTGTAGGATGGAATCTCAAAGTAGTTTTGGTTTGCATTTCCTAGATGGCTAAGGATGTTGAACTCTTCTTTAAGCATGTCTCAGCCTTTTGAGATTCCTCTATTGAGAATTCTCAGTTTAGATATGTAACCCATTTTTAAGTTGAGTTATTTGTTTTCTTGATATCTAGTTTCTTGAGTTCTTTATATATTTTGTATATTAGTCTTCTATAAGATGTGGAATTAGTAAAAATATTTTCCCATTCTATAGGCAGCTGCTTTTTTCAATTGACAGTGGCCTTACCTTATAGAAAATTTTCAGGTTCATGAGGTCCCATTGTTAATTGTTGATTTTAGTGCCTGTGTTAATGGCGTTCTGTTCAGAAAGTCGTCTCCTGTGCCAGTGTGTTCAAGGCTATTCCCTACTTTCTCTACTCTCAGGTTTTGTATGTCTGGTTTAATGTTGGGATCTTTGATCCACTTGGACTGGAGTTTTGTACAGGATGATAAATATGAATCTATTTGCGTTCTTCTATATGCACACATTCAGTATGACCAGTACCATTGATTGAAAATGCTGTCTTTTTTTCTAGTTTACATATCTGGTTTCTTTATCAAAAACCAGGTGTCCATAGGTGTGTGGATTTATGTTTTCCTCATTCTTATGCCTCTTCTTGGTGAGGAAGAATGCATCAACCCCACTGAGCACCACAAAACTCGTTCTATTACTCTTAGCAATGTAGTAAATTCTTTCTTCCTTCTTTCTTTCCTTCCTTCCTTCCTTCCTTCCTTCCTTCCTTCCTTCCTTCCTTCCTTCCTTTCCTTTTTTTTTTTCTGCTTCTGGCTAAGGTTTTATTCCTGGAAATAACAGTATGGAGGAAGAGGTAATTCCCTGGACTCTTAGAAGCATCTGAAATACAGGGGGAAGCAAGGAGAGTTACCTTGGGAGATAAGACCTGGGGATCGGGAATCTTTTTACTGTTGACTGTGTTATCCACCACATCCCCTCAGAAGCTTTACAATTTAATTGTAGATATAAAGATACAATTCCATGCGATTTAAAGTGAGATTTAAAGAACGGAATAGTTTTCCTTTCAAAGGGGTCCAGATGAACGGGGTAGACCTGCTCGGTAGGATGCAGCGCGAATGGTGTGCTAAGCCATACCCATGCGCCCCAGAGGGTTCCTGCCCACCTCCCTTTCTCACTGCTTTAAGCTCGCTCTCCGCTGTTTTCTGCCCTGCGTGTGTGCCAGTTCAACCACGTTTTGAGGAGACTACTGGGGAGTGTCCATCTGTCAGATCTCAATGGACAGAAGCCATTGGGTCAGGAGGCTGGAGGAATTCTTCCACTGTTGCTTTGATGTCTGGCAGTAGATGAGGAGCCTGGGTGATAAGGTAGGGAGTCCTTAGCGGCTCATCAGCCTGCCAAGCTGAAGGAGAGACAAGCCAAAGCCACTGTCACACAGGCACTGCAGCTTTGAGAGTCTGCCTGCTTAAAGTGCTCATCTTGTTTAGCAAGACTGAAAAAGCTTCCTCAGGGAGGCTGATTTCCAGGAAGGTCTAAAATGCAAACAAGGGGGAAACCTTTGGAGAAGGGAGCGAAGGGTCCCAACAGACTCCAAATAGTATTCAGAGCAGAAGTATAATTACCCAGTTACTAAACGGATAGCTTGGCAAAGGCTTACAATTTCGGTTCAGCTTTGCTTCGTAAAATTTTATTGAATACTGTGCTGTGCACTGTGGGAAATAAACAAGATGTGACTTCGTAATAATGCGATGGATTGTTAAGAACACGAATCCCTAAACTCATATATCCAAGTGTGTGCTTTTTGAGAGTTTAAATATTTTTTCTAGGTATATTTTCAATTCTCTTAGGGCATGCTTTCATCCTGAAGCATACTTAAAATATCTATATATATATATATCTATATCTGTGTATATACACATATATTTATTATTTATAGATTTAATTTTGGAAATAGCCAGGCTATGAGGAACAGGTCCTATGAATAAGGTAGGTGATCAAAATGGAGAAAGTTCTGTTTATCTAAGGTGAAGTGCTACTGTATCTCATGGAGTGTGACTTTTTAGGGGGTGTCATCAATTTAAAAACAGCCCCTCTCGTGTCGCGCTGCATCTTGCATCGAGGTCATGTCTTAGAATGACCATGAAGTAAAATACTCACAGATGAATGTCCTGACGGCTTTATCAAAGTTCTAACCTCTTACACACGGAGGCTGAAAAGGGCTCTGGACCTTTAGGAACTACCAGGAAGGTAGTGGGGACATAACTGTGAGAGCCAGAGAGTGAAACCTGGCTTCCATCCCTGGTGGTGTGACAGAGTTGAGGTGACTGTGTGGTTGATACAGTCAGGAGACTGGGCACTGAGAAGACTCCTTCTTTAGAGTTCATGTCTACTGGGACAGTAGAAGTTGTTTTTCTGTCAGTTTGGCCCATCTGCTTTCCCTCTTATATTTCTGTTTCCTATTTGCTTCGCCCACATTAATTTATGAGTAGAAATCGATGCCTCTGAAGCACCTTGACTATTTCTGTGTGGATCCAGGCTTTCTTGGTGCTGAGTTTCTGCAGAACAATCTGGGAAAGGGAAGTCAAGATGGAAAGCCAAGAGCAATTCTGAATGGCTTCTTATAACTAAGCCAACAGGACTGACTTGAAGTTTCCATGGTTGATATGTTTTCTTTTTTAAAATTTCTTTTCCTTTTTTCCCCCTTATTGTTGTTGTTTTTGAGACAGGGTTTCACTATGTAGTCTTGGTTGTCCTGGAACTCACTCTGTAGACCAGGCTGGCCTGGAACTCACAGAGATCCCTTGCCTCTGCCTCCCGAGTGGTGGGGTCAAAGGTGTGTGCCATCACTGCCTGGCTAATAATTTTTTTAAAAAAGATTTATTTATTATGTATACAACATTCCTTCCATGTACATCTGCACACCAGAAGGGGACACCAGATCTCATTACGGATGGCTGTGAGCCACCATGTGGTTGCTGGGAATTGAACTTGTGGACCTCTGGAAGAGCAGTCATCGCTACATCCCCTAATAATGCTCAGCAGCACTGTCTTCTACATTAGAGCTCAGAAGACTGGACAAGGACTAGTGCACTCAGCTTTATTCTACACAGAATATAGTAAAGTGTGGGAGGGGCCCAGTAAGGACCATGTTTTCATAGTCGCTACCCACGACTCTCTTCAGATGGCATCATTACTCTCTGATTTCCATCTCATATTCCTTTAAGTAAACCCTATGTCTGAAGTAAGCTTGCGCTGTACAAAAAAAAATGCCATCGTCTGCATAGCTTAAAAAAGACATTTATTCTTCAAAGTTCCAGAAAGTTTAAGGTCAAGATGTCTGCTAGTCTGTCCTGGTGGGGGCTACTTTTCTCTCTGGAAGGTGGTTGTCTTCTTGCTGTGTCGTCACTTGGCAGATGGGGTTGGGGCTCTGGTGTTTTTATTACACGAACGCTAGCTTTTCCAAACCAGAGTTCCACCATCATGACTTCATTTATCACCAATCATTTCCTTAGGTCAAATACGGCCACACTGGGAGGCTATGACTTGTGATGGTTAGCATTGACTGTCAGCTTGGCACCAGCCTCCATTCATACCTTCCCTGCCACAGACTCCCCTGCCACCAGCTCCTGGAGAACGATGGCCTAGAGAAATGTTTCCTCAGGGTCAGCTCAGAGGTTTCTGCAAGAGTGGTCCAAAGGAGCCAGGCTCCATCCCGGATGTGGCACTGTAGTCCATGTGGTACTGGTTTCACAGGCATGAAAATTGCAAGGTGGAAGCAGTCACGAAGTCTTATGCCACACTTCCAGAGAGCCACTGAGACTAGGTAAACGCGAGGCAGGGTCAGACTCCTTGCTGAAGTTCCAGAGGGGCAATAGTGTGAAGACGAAGCCAGTGACGACCCCAGGATGCTGGAGGCAACAGAGATTTTTATGGAGTCTCTAAACTTTATGTTACTTAAAATCACTGGACAGTCTTCAGGTAGAGTATGTGCAAGACAAGAAAACATTGCACGCTAAATCCTGTCAATATTCAAAATGCACAGGACAGAGAACCGCTGTAAGGAAGTGAAGAAGCATGGCCATTTATCCTTGTATAGCCACCATTAGGCACAGAACCTTTTCGGTGTGCTAAATTTAACAGAACAAGGTTATTGTTATTGCATGGTTATTGACGTACTTCACAGCTAATCTCTTTGTCCTGTCCAGGAGCTAAAAGGACTGCTAGCTAAGGCAAGGGTTCCCAAAGGCCCGAATGGATTGAAGGGGTAGGGAACAGAAAGTTCAAGGAACTCACGTTAACTTACATGAGGCTGAAGAGGACAGGCCGGTAAAGGTGAGTATTTCAATAATGAGGTTAAAAATCCAGGTTCTCCAATGGAGGAAGAACTGACTCCAAAAGGCTAGTTTATCTCTGCCTCCCACAGTACTCTGGGGTTCTGGAAACAAGAGATTTCCTGTTGGGAAATGTATTCTGGTACAGTGCAATAGTGGTGGTGGTGGTGGTGGTGGTGGTGGTGGTGGTGGTGGTGGTGGTGGTGGTGGTGGTGGTGGTGGTGGTGGTGCATGGTGCAGCTGATGACAGTGTTCGGTTGTTAGCTGATGGCTGTGCTTTCTGCTGGGTTTTGTTAGGGTGCTCCTTGAAAAGGAACAGCAATGCCATATGGGAGTGATTTGATCAAGTGCAGTAACTTTGCCCTTTAACCTGGGTGGTGGCATCTAGCCGCAGCTGGGAGGCAGTGCACGCGCGGCTGGCCAGGGCAGGAGGGTTGGAAACTCTAGGGAGGAGCAGACGAGGGGCGTGGTGTGGGCGTAACCATGTGGAACTAGGCCACGCCTCCCTCTCATCTCTCGCCTGCGCAAGCGCGCTGTGGTCCGTTAGCTGTCAGGAGCCTAGCAGCGGGCGGTCGGGATCCGACGTCTGTGCGGGGACTCAGCTGTCTGAGCCCCGCGCAGCAACCACCCCGACAAGCAAGCTCCCCGAGACCCGGGCTGCCTGCCAGGTCATAGAGTTCAGTGGAGACCTGTGGGGCAGTTGGTCGCTCAGGCAAGATGGGGAACCGGGAGATGGAGGAACTGATCCCACTGGTGAACCGTCTGCAGGACGCCTTCTCGGCGCTGGGACAGAGCTGTCTGCTGGAGCTGCCGCAGATTGCCGTGGTGGGCGGCCAGAGCGCCGGCAAGAGCTCGGTGCTCGAGAACTTCGTGGGCAGGTGAGCGCACTGGGAGCGCGGTGGGGGCGCGGCCGTGGGGGCGCCCCTGCGCCAGGCCGTTGGAACGTGGACCGGTGTGGGGAGCCCGAGGGTGGACTAGAGGCTGTGGCGGATTGGGGGCCGAGCAGTAGTGTCACTGTAGCAGGCGGGGTCCTCCCTGCTCTGGGCATCCTTCGTCCCCGCATCCTCCACCCCGTGGTGACCCCCTGTCTGCCTTTCATCCTGCTATACAAAGCCATTTCCTCCCCACCCTTGGTGGGGGAGTCGGGGTCCGCCCCAGGATCCACTTCCCTCGCTGGGGAGCCTCTGGCAGCCTGGATGCGCAGCTCGGTGCTTTCCAGTCCCCTGGTCTCTTCCTCGGTCTCAACGACCTCCTCCTTTTCCTGTCACCCTCCCCGAAGCTCTCAGCTCTGCTGTGGGGATTCACCCCTCCTCCTCTGTTCTTTTCCCCTCGCTCTGGCTCTCCAATCTCTCTACTGTTTGAGACAGTCATCGCCTGCCCCGAGCTGGGGAGGCGGGGTGTATGGACCCAGAAATCTCTGTGGTGAATGCTTATCCGGAGATGCTAGCATGCCTACCGTTCGCCCCGGGAGCAGAAGAATAAACGGTGGTGTGTTTGAGTGTGCACCCATTCACTGCTCAGACATGACTGAAAACCCGAGACCTCTGGGGGTGACCATGGACTTGTCACGTTCAGGTGCCTTGTCATTCCTGCATCATCTCAGAACTGACCAGCATCTTTCTCGCACTCTCTCTGTGCCCCCCTCCCCCCAGCATCCTCTTGCGTTCCTTAAGCTCTTATTTATCTCGCTGGTCTTCAAACTAACACACAGAATCCAAATTGTAGTTGTGGCTTTCTTTATGTCTCCCAATTTAAAAGCAAATAAAAAATTATTGTCCTTTTAACTAGGGAATCAACGTTTCTTTTAGTGAACAATTCAGGGAGGATTAGTTACCCTAATGGCCTTGCATGAGGAGCGCACCATGAAGGCTGAAATCGTCTTCCCTACTGTAAACCAGGTAGAATGTGCCCCAGTGAAGAAGGTGGGCTGGGGCGGGAAGGGGGGCTTTCGGAGATTGCACTTTATTCTTTTATTTGGCTGTCGAGCTACTTGTGATGTAGAGGGTTCCTGCTGTGGTCCTCCACCCCCTTCTTTTATTGCTCGGCTATGTGTAAACTGTAACACTGACGATTCCCACATTTTGGGGTGTGAGCATCCTCAAGTGCGTTTTCTTTTTTTCCTCCGATGATGCGCCACCTCTCAGGAGATACGCTTCATTTTTCTCATTTCAATACAAACTAGAAAGATAAAAAGTGGAATTGCTGGCAAGTGGCTGCTACCTTTGGGTAGTTAGCCTCCTTAGTCACTTCCCCATGTTTTTATAATTCATTTTGCTCAATAAGAATAGCGGTAGTAAAACATTTTGCCTGCGTCACCTCAGACTTCTGTAAAGGCAAGGAGCTATTTAATAATACTATTTTAAAAAACCTTAAAGATTAAAATTGTGTTTCAAATGCAACAGCGATGTTTTTATGCATCTTTCTTATAATTTAAGTATATCGTGGTGAGTGCCTTTGAACGCAATGTAAATTCTGTGCACATGTCTCAGTTCTGCTCTCCAGGTTTGAAAATCTGAACAGTCTTCTTAACGTTATAAAGCAGGTGTGCTGATTTCCCTTTGCTAGCTGCATTCTTTTGTAATGAGAATGAAAGAGCAGATACAGTAGAGGAATATATTTAATTTTGAACATTTTTTCACAAGTGAAAAATAGTAACTATAAAAATCAGAGCACTTACCAGAATGCATCGGTAATTTGCTGTCCTTTATCAAGTTTTACTAGTACTTTCTGTTGGGATGATAAAGAAAATAAGGGACATATACAAGTAAGTACTCCTTAAGTAAGCACATCAAGTCTTTGTTAGCTTCAGGGTGGCATCTGCCTAGCACAGCTTATATATTAAGGAGAAAACTTAATTAGAAGGTCATTTGACTTTAACCAAGATTTCGGTCATTGAATTATTGAAGAATCTAATTTCTAATTATAACTCAACCTTAGGGGGAAAACTCTCTCCATTTTCAGAAGTAAATCAGCCCAGGATTTTTTTTTTTTTAAAAAAAGGTATTCATGTTTCACTTTAACCTCTTAGCTTTTTACTAACCAGGAATTTTATAACCGATATAAAGTTCTTTAAAATGCACTGTTTCTTCTCTACTCATAGCTGTTTTCATTTTAATGCTTGACCAATGGTGTAGTGATAGAGTATAATCAAGCTCCAGGCTCTTCAGTTGTGTAAACTGTTTGCTTCTGAATGAAGCTTGTTCTCTTCAAATACTGTTGCATTTATTGATTGATTTATTGCCCACTTAACAATACACCTTCAGTAGCCAACCATATCTTTCTCCTCCAAATTGTTTGCTTATGTTGATTTTTTCTAGATACCATTGAACACATTTGGATGTGAATGTATTTAGCTTTATCTGTGAAACTGATTTTGGGGTGATAAGTTTGAGTGTATTATGAATAAAATGCATCATGAATGAACTCCTTGTTTGTGATGTTCTTGCTGAAACGACAAATTTGCATATTAATGTGATATAGTGTGAGTAGCTAGATTGTTTTGATTGTTCAAGGAGCGCCTATATGCTGGCAGTGAGAAGCTGCTTAAGGTCTATGGGTCTAATCCACAGAGAGTGAAGCCATGGATTGAAGGAAGATAGGGCTTCACTACCGGGCTCAAATCTATCCATTCGTCTAGTTTGTAAATGGAAGAATCGAATCTATTCAACCGCTTTCTTACTTGTGTATTCATGTGAACTTTCTTGCCTCCCTTCCAGTTGAACTCAGGGCCTTGTGCATGCCGGAAGGTGCTCCACCGCTTAGCTGTAGTTCCAACCCATCTCCCCCTTTTAAACAAAAAGACTTGAATCATTCTGTATCCAAGGCAGGCCTTGAACTTGTGATAGTCCTTTCTCAGCTGCTGGGGAAGCTGGGTTTATAGGCCTGAGCCACCTGCATAAAGAGAAAGGAGGCTTGGTTCTAAACATGCAGGCTTAGAGGGCAGTCATGATGAAAACAATGGCTGGGATTTTCTGAGTGATTGCCACACGCTGGATGCTATCTTGGGTGCTTTAACATGAATAATCTCATTTAATCCTCATAAAACCCCAAAGAGGTAGGTACGCTCATTCATTTCATTTTACCTAATAGTAAATTAAAATGTAATGAGCTTGAGCAAGTCACTCATGGCTAATTTGAGTTAATGTAAAAACTTTAGTTCAACCTGAGGTGTTGGAGCTCTTTAATCTAGTCTTTAAAGCCCGTGTGCCGTACTGCCTGATCCTTCTGGTCAACACTTTCAGCATCTTTCCTATTGGTCTTATAACCCTGGACATATGAACTAGAAACTGCTGTATTGATAAGTCTACTCCTATTCTGTTGTGTACGTCTACCTGCTTAGAAGTATTGATTAAAAGACACAGATTTTTATTTACTATATTAGACGTTCCTAAAGATAACTCTGAAACGTAATTGGTTGTTTCCTTAAGTATGTGTTTAGAGTGCATACAACTTGTTTATTGAGGTGCTAAGTGAAAGCTGAGCTAGCTGCTAATGTGCAAATGTTTTTAATGATACACTTGATAGCAGCATTAGTTGTACAATGCTAATTATATAGGCAGGAGATTCCATGTTCTTTTGTTCCAGTCTGAGTGGTAAACAGACCTCCAATTCTAAGACTTTTGTGGTTAATGGAAACCAGATAAAAGATTTTTAAACATTGACTGTACTTATGGGAGTTTGTTTTAATGTGGAAATTTCTCAATAACATTTATCTGTTTACTTACGAGTTTGAGGAAAACCGTGATGATGTCATTGGGTATGATCAGATAATTAAATCTAAAATTTATGTGGCTCAACCACTAACCTTTTTCTCAATTCTTTTGACAGATTTCATGAACATGTTTAAAATTGAGTAAGAGCCCTCTAATTGTGAACAAGGTTAAAACTTATTAAACCAGAGCACATTTGTATTGAGGGGAAGGATCTTGTTAAAACAGCAAAGCATGTAAGTTAGTGGCTGACAATTAAAATGTGAAACCTATTGAAAGTTATGCTTAGAAAGTTCCAGGGAATTATTCAGTAAAATATAAAAAATGTGAATGGTTCTTTATCTAACACGTAGGTGGAAGCTGAAATTATGAATCCATGTGTGCTGAGTCAGCATTCTATAATGCCTTCTAAGAATATCATTGGTTCACAGTTAGTAGGGCTTATCCACCACACCAACATTTCTTGTTTAAATACTAGTAATGTCTGAAAAAAAAACAGGGCTAAGTGAAGTGGCTTTGATAGAATATCTTTGATTTGGATTTATTTATGATTAATCAATATAAAAATGCTCTTAACATTTTAAGGAACGAAGCGGGGGGACTGAGAAGATGGCTTCCTGGCGATTAAGTGTGCTTGCTGTGCGAGTGTGCGGACCTGAGTTTGGATCCTCAGTACTCACAATAAGTTAGGCATGTCCTTGAGTGACTGTAACCCCAGAAACAGGTGGATTCCCAGGAACTTGATACCCAGCCAGCCTCATCAGAACTGCAGGTTTCAGGTTCAGTGAGAGACACATCTCAAAAAACTAGAGGGAGAGGAAGAGATTAAGATGCCTGCCTCTGGCATGCACCCACACATGTAAATGTGCATAGAACCCTCTCCTCATTATAATTCATACAAAAAATAATGATCAAAAGAATGAAGTTGGGGCAGGCATAGCATCTCATACCTATAATGTACTTGAGATGCTGAGATGCTGTGAGTTTCAGGACAGCCTGGGCTGTAGTGTGAAACTCTGTCTCAACACTTGTCCCACAAACCACCACCTCATCACAACTAAAACTGTGGGGCAGGCAGCCTTCCATAATCTCAGAGGAATGGAAACAGTATCTAGGCATGTTAGAACATAGGGTTTTGGGTTCTCTATCAATGAAATATAATATTTGAT